GCGCAGATGCAAGTGTGCTGCGCTAATGCAGAGCAGCGCTGCGCTAAGAAGAAGCAGGGCAGCGCTAGGCGGTAGGGCGCTGCCTGCTTGCAGAGCGCTGGCGGCCATAGCCGGCCATAGCCGGGCCGCAAGAGGGTGCAGGGGAGGTGAGGGCGAAGGTGGTACTTYGGAGGTGAAGGGAGCTGGTTGGGTAACAAGGGAGAGTGTGGGGAAGATGACACGTACCTGGTGATGGTGGTCTGCATTGGTGTTGACATCATCACTCGCTGGTAGTCAAGTTGTCTGGTTGCTGTTCATTGCTGTAGTTGTAGGATAGGCTGTAGAGTAGATAGGGCGCCTGGCGCCATTCACAAGAGAGAGCTATACTTGGGTTATGCTGTTGGTGTTGCCCTGGTGGGCATGGACATTGACTCACGATTCTTCTGTATCATTCTCAATGGGATGGTTACTCGGTTCCATGTGCTATCTGCTTTGGCTTTGAATACTTGGACTTCAGTGTGATTTTGCATTCCGGATTTCTGTGCTTCGTCCATACTCATGTTCCTTGCAAACGAAAATAAAGGGAAAAAAAAAACTTGTCCATACCTGCCGAGTTCTCTTCATGTAATTATTATGAACTTATCATCCTTGTGCTCGATTTTACACTGTTGTATGCTCGAACGAGTGTTTGCTGATTCTGACTTAAGTGCAACTGAGTTTACCTTCTTCTACCTCATACATAGCTTGTACACGTTAACTAAAAGCAAAATGGGTTATCGGCAACATAATAAGTTTAATAACTTATTGCGTATTCTACTTGTAGCCAATTGGGTTATACGGTACTCGCTTGTGGTATCTCCAATTACTCTGTGAGTGCATTCCATCTTAATCATCTGATGAACCATACTCTTTTGTTGTCAACAACAGGAAAACGCTTGTCAGCATCAGTGTTCTTGTTGCACACCTGTTCTCAGCTGTCATGTTTTGACGAATTGGCCAAACAAGAGCTATGTGTGTGTACCGTTCATCCCAAGCAGGTGTAAGCCTCATCATGAAAAATGTACACAATCGATCTCAACTGCATGTACAACGCATCTCATTCACTAATACCTGTCCATTGCTCCCAGTAGGTCCATCTAAAGAACCAAGATGTTCCACCAGCTTAACTGCACCAATTATGCCCATGTAGCGGTACTTCACATCAGGGTGTTTTATCTGCAGAAGGCAGCAGTCAGAGAAAGACGACACAAAAGTTACACAAAGATGCAGCACAACAAGCTTTACAGGCTTCTGCTAAGCAACACTTGTACTGACACCTGTTAGAGCCAAGGCCTTCAGAATGCTGCAAAAAAATTAAGCACAGCTTCACCCGATGCCCCACATGCCTAAGTCCCGTGCATCTCTGTGGGGAAGCTATGTGTGAAAAGCAAGGAGCAGGTGGTAAACATTTCCAATCATCAAATTGAATTATTGAAGCAATATGATGCATGATTCATACAACGAGCTGATGGTTTGTTACTATTCTCACACATTTTTTCTTTTTCTAACACACACACAATATGTTGCCTTCATTCTTACCGGATTCGGAGCTTGTTGATTGGTTATTTTCCTCGTGCATGATATTTTTCCTTAATGCTTACCATTTGTCATTTGGAGCTGCTTGGACTCTCTCTCTCTCTCTCTCTCTCTCTCTCTCTCTCTCTCTCTCTCTCTCTCTCTCTCTCTCTCTCTCTCTCTCTC